AGAGAGAGAGAGAGAGAGAGAGAGAGAGAGAGAGAGAGAGAGGTGTGAAAGTTTGACAATAGCAATACAACAACATAGGGAATTAGAGAGTAAATTAAAGAACTTGGTTGGTGGGTCAATTTAATACTAAGTATGGATCTGGGTTGAGGCAAAATATTATATATAGTTTTTCTTTTAGGTACAGAAAATATTATATATAGTTACTCAACTAGTTACTCATAAAATAAAAGGTCAGCATATTGAGGACAGGTAAAGAGTAAGACAAATTACTCAACTCAAAGAGGAGCTGTGCTTCAAAGCCCAACTTCTTCTTCTTCTCTCCTATGTAAGAAAAGAAGCATGACTTCTCTATCACTTTTTTTGTTGATTTCCTCATCAAGCTTTTTACTTTGGTAACTTATGGATCAAATCTAGCTTTGAAGTTTCTGTCTTTTTAATTATTTTTGTTTTGTTTTTGTTGGGTTTTCTCAATTTTTGGTTTGGTGTTGATGGGGTTTGACTTTGTGATGAACAGAGGCAGCTGCAGGAATGGCTTCAGATTCTCAAATTTATCACTTCGATGAGGTGGCCAAGCACAACCACAAGAAAGATTGCTGGATCATAATCTCTGGAAAGGTCAGATTTGTAGTCTTTTTCTTTGTTTTCTTTTCCCCTTTGATTCCCATTTTCTTGTAATTGTATTAATACCTGTGTATGTATCTGAATTAATTCAGTTTCTGGGTTGATTTGTGATATATGGTTTATGATTTATCTGTTGGTTAAAGGCAAAGTCTTTTGCTGCCACCCGTTTTGCTATGTGTGAGAGAGTTACTTTAGCATTGAGTAGAGGAGTTTATAGATCTAATTGAAAGTATAAAGGGGAATTGAAACAAAAAGGAGGGAGGAAAAGGGCAGACATATCTTTAGAAGCTACAGTGAATTAACATATCAGTGCAAAGGATGTCTGCTGCTGAACACTTGCAATATGCTGTTATGTTTCATAGGTTTAACTTTAATCATAGGTTGTTAAATGGTAATTTGTCTGAAGGATTGAGTTGCACCTTGCGTTTTCTGTGTAGTTTGTGTGTGTATGATTGTTGCTCTGTTTTTTGGTGTTAATATAATTTAATCTTTGGCAACATAAGTAGGATGGAATGGAGGAGAAGGGCTACAATACTAATTTGTACCGATTAAGTGTTGTATGTGATAGAAATATTCAATGCATGACCACAGATAAATGCAGAATCAATGAATTTCTTCGACTTATGAACAC